GCTGCGCCACCAGGGAGGGCCAACGTTCAGTATTATCAATGTTAAGAAAGTGCTGACCAACGTGTGGGGTTCCTAATCCCTGTGTTCATGAGCGGATGGTTATTATGGCCAGGTTTTATGATGTCTAATTTTGATCGCTAGGCTGTTAGAGGAGGAAAAGGTCCTGGAGAACTTCTGGGCACATCAGGTTAACAGATTAAGACATCTCGGGCAAATGACCTTAAGATTACCCTGTGATCTGGAAGAGGAGTTAAGAACAAGCCAGACTCTTGCTACATATAGTCACAGCAGGCCTTACACGTCGTCTCTTCAGCTCCTTTCAACGAGTGTGAACAAGCAAAGAAACAGGGAGGGTGGGATTGTTCCTCATGCCCAGAGTCACGTTCACTGGTTCAGCAATTTCTAAACACTCCCAGGATGCACTGTGCGCTCGGGCTTCAGCAGCGAACAAGCCAGACAATGTTCCTGGCACTTGTTGCAAGCAAGAAGGGGCAAGGGAAACACTAAATCTCAGGGCAGTCAGTATAACTTCTAGTAGGTGTAGCTCTCAAAAGTTAGCGTATGCAAGACATGGCGATGGGACGACAGGAATGACCAGGAGCTCAGGAGGGGATGAAATGGCCGGGAAAGGATCCACTGAGGCTTCCACTGAGCATCAAGAAGGAATCAGCCCTGCCAAGATCTGGGTACTAGAACCCAGCTGAGAAACAGAAAGTGCAAAGTCCCAGGGGTAGGAAGAGCTCCAAGAGGCTCAGGAATAGCGTAAACAGCTGCAGCAGAGGAAGCAAGGCAGGCGGAGAGCCACGGGGTGGGAGAGGCAGATAGCGAGCCAGCCCCCAGGGACCAGGCAGCCCTGCTAAGAGTCTGCATGGCCCCTATGTTTGGTTTAAGAGATTAACACAGCGGGGCTTGTTTCCAAGTGTCCTAGCTGCCTCGCTACAGCCACCCAGGAGTTGGCGGCTACGCCTGGCTGTGGCTCTCACGACCCTGTGGAGTTGAGCCCTTCCACGCATGCACACACACAAGAGGCAAACCAGGTGCCACGACTGTGCAAAGCGGGACGCCAGGCACTCACCCGCTCGTGATGTCATCCGTCCGGATGTTCTTGCTCAGCACGTCCCCATCGCTCATGTACCCGGGGGCGTCCATGCTGATGCCTTCCAGGTCCAGCTCATCCCCTGTCTTGTCTGAGACGTCCACATGGCAGACGCTGTTGCCCCTGGAGGCCAGCTGCCTCCTCAGTGGGGCTGAATACACGTAGCGGCCCGACTCAGTGTTGATGAACCGGCTGGCATTGGCACGCGGTGGGTACCCATTGCCCAGAGAGGGGGCATCTCCTGCCTGGAGCCGAGGGCTGGACTGGCCGAGTCTCCAGGACAGAGGAGTGGGCCTTCCGGTCAGGCTGAGGATGCTGCGCCCGCTGATCTCCGTGGTGACGTTGGTGTCAAATGTTGTTTCCAATGTGCTAAAATCATCAAAGCAACCTTGAGTTAGACCCCCAGTATGCCTGGCATCCTTGGCTTATATGTTCCTTCACTGTTTTTAGAATGAGGAAGTATTTCCCTTTCACAAACTAGGATCAAACCACAGGGACCCACGTGTCACCCACGTTATTTCCTGTTAAACATAAGAAGAGGAGATAAATAATCCAGGGTTGTCATGTATAGATGACAGCACAGCTGACATCTCTTTAGCAAGTGGAGGGAAAGTGTAAAGAGAGTCACCCCTACGGGCTCACAGAAGGAGAAATTTTTTTCCTTTTCTTCCTAATGTATCTATACAAGCGGACAGGACAGGTATCCACAGCACAACAGTGTACGCCTGGAGTGAGTACAGTGATGGGTGTTAATTATTTCTCAATAAAACTGGGGCAGGACAGAAGGAAGAGGAACCTGACCTCTACCTAACTTTCTGAAAAGCCCAGGGGAGACCTAGCCCCTTGAATCATGGAACAAGATACCCACTAATGCTTCTTCTAATCAAATGATCTTAACTATTGCGATAATCTCAAAACAGGAAAGATGTAGAAAAAGCTGAACTGGTGACCATGAGTCATAGAGGTACAACCTACTGAATGGCCTCGAATGCAACCTCCTTGCCCCTTTCCCTTCCTGGGGGCAGGGTGTACCATCCACGCCAGAGCTCCAGATAACACATTTCGCCTCCTCAGTTCCTTTTTGACCAAGCACACAGGCAGAGCCCTGATATTGTAACTCTCTAAAGTCCATCTCCCAGACTTTGCTCTTTGCACGTAACAACTTCACTCGAGGTAAAAACTGAAATTGGGGGGCAAAAAGCCCAAGAGGACTAGCAAATGCTAAGGCTTGAGATCCATAATAAATGGGTCACATGGGTCTGAACATGCAGAGACTGAGCTTGTCCCTAGTCATCAGAGTGACTCTTGCTGTCCACTGATGGCTGGCAGGCCCATGTGGCATAGGACAGAGGCTCATTTGTACCTCTTTGGAGCTGCCCTGGGGTTTCTTAACTCAGCAAAGTGTTTCCTGCAGAAGAAGCCATCAACACCGGTCCCCCTCACGATGGCCATCCTACTATCAGCCAAGAAATTCATCAAGCTGCTGTAACCCACAGCAAGTCAGTTTCAGCAGTGAGAGTGGAGACAGGGAAGCTTCATAACTAATCAGTCTCAGGTTGCAGCTTCTGGCTCCACGCCAGAATACCTAAAGGTTGAGAGGAGCACCACAGCACACCCCAAAAGTTTACTTGTCTATGGAAGAACCAAGCTGGCGCCTGTTTTTATTTCTCTCACATTCTGCAAATGGCTTTGTTTTCCTCTTACTGGGAACCCCTAAGGTTCAGGTCCTGGTTTTGCTTAAGTAAGAACCCACAGTGGTTACCCCGATCTGCCAAAGCTGCTTGGCAGTGAGGAAAGCCTGTGGTCTTCTCGCTATACTCATTTATCAAAGAGACTGAAACTTGAGAAGCAAGAGACTCTCTGGGAGTTCAGTGGGGATAACCAAGACTCTGCCTTGATGATCAAAGCCCAACGAGGACCATAAAACTCAGTTCTGCCAACTCCAGAAGGTGTCCTGAGCTTGCATCCCCCTCAACTTCTTGCACAGCAATGAAAACAACGTGGTAAGTGTATCCAATGTAATTCTAAATTTCACCCAACTCTAAATTTAAACGCGATCATAAGTCTTTATAAATATTTCTTTACGCGTTTCCCACACGTGCATAACTAACAACATTACAGGGTACCAGAAGACCGGGGAGGAATTCAAGTTATTTGCTTTATCACACGCAGGTCAAATACAGTTCACCTGCTCATTTCAACAGCACAATCTGCTTTTGGAAAATGCACGCAAAGTGAAATTTATATGGATGTGGTCCACAGTGTTCTCTGTTGAGTGGATTGTGCAACTTCCTGCTTGGGGGAGGGAGCTCGCTATACTAATTTTTGCTCCTTAAACTTCTAAGCACTGAATGGCATTCTTTGTGAACTTCAGTACAGTTGAAGATCAAGGTCATTCATTCTATTATTAACCAAATTACTTTGCTAGATAAACACAAGAGAATAAATACAAGAACAGCAGTGTAAAACTCAGTCTGCCAGCTAGTTCCATCAAGTCGCTCATACAGCTCCTACCTGTGTGTGACCTGAGTTCCCCGCAAACTGCACATGGTCTCCTCCAAATTCTGACGCAGATCAGCGATGTTCTTCACTGTCCGAAGTCGCCGAGCCTCGGGGTCTTCCCCTGGAAAGATGGTGAAGGCTATTTAAATTCTCTGACTGTGAGTTTCACAGAAGCAGTGTTCCCGACTAACATGGGCTCCATGGTGGGTGCTGGTCCACGGTGGGTGCTTAGAAAGGATTTGAGAACAAATGGATGGATGGATGGATGGATGGATGGATGGATGGATGGATGGATGGATGGATGGATGGATGGATAGATGAATGGATGGATGGATGGGTGGATGGATGGGCAAGGTGATGGGTAGGTGGGTGGATGGTGGGATGATGGGTGGATGGATGATGGATGGATGGATAGAGGGATGATGGATGGATCCCCAATGGAAGGTGTTATTCGAAAGTTAAGACTTTTTTCTTTCCCCAGGTCCTTCTATGTAGGAGAAATAAAGCACCTAAATACATGTCACATGGTCTCCAATAGAGATACATACAGACTAGGTCTCATCACTTCCCAGGAATCATTGTCTGGCCTCCCAAAAATGGGTGAGGCATTTCATTTTTTGCCGATTACTGATAGATGCCGCCACCTCCCAGCTTGATTTTACAATGAAATTGGCAGTGAGTAAAAGATGGACACTTACTAATAATATTTCTACAGAGAGAGGGGCATCTTTCTTTAGAATCATTATGTCAACTCAAATTCTGGTTTCTTTATTCACTGGCTGTTTGGTTGGGAGAAGGCACTGACCTTCTCCACCCTTCAGAAATCATTGTCATAAAGGAGGGTGGTACTGACCCCACAAGACGGTAGCAGGGCAAGGGGGCAGGTGGCAGAAACCCTGGCAGTAGCTTTTCACACTGCCTGCCGCCATCACATCACTCAAGAGTCCGTCACCTTGTGAAGAGCAGGGAGCCATCATGAAGCATGGGGGGAGGGGGGACTTTACTGGGAGGGTGAGGGATTCCCGTTGTCCTGGCAAGATTTTCACAGCCTTGCCTTGCGTTCTCTGACTATCTGTTTTGCTTGGGATTACATAGGGCAAGGACAGCCTTCAATAAAGGAATCAAACATTTTCCCCTCCCCATACTTTCAGAGAGGGTTAAGACAGAAGAACCACAATCAAGGGCTGTAAAAATAAATAAAAAATCTGTGACTGTGGCCCTCGCTGGTGGCACAACGGGTTAAAGTGCTGCACTGTAAGCAAGCTGCAGCTATTGTAGTGAGTTCGATCCCTGGTCTCCCGGAGGTGATCCACATGGTGCCGCAGACCTCTCCTGACCCGCCCGCTGCTCCCCTCAGCAGTGTACTTCATTCATCTGCCTGTTCTGCTCCCCACTCTGTCTCTGGTGAATCCTCTCATTACCCCTGCACCTCTGGCCTGTACCCTAGTTCTGTATGCATAAAAAAATAAGTCTTAAAACTTTTTTTAAAAAAAGATCTGTAACTGTTTCAAGCTATGAGCAACAATTTAAAAGAAATCTTAGGGCACACATGGATGGTGGTCACTGGGATGGACTAAGTTAGATACTAGGGAGAACTTCCAGCATCTGTCATTAACAGGCAGCTAAGAAATGCCACCAAATTAAATCTCCTGCTGAGAAAGATAACAATTACCTTAGGCTGTTTTCTACATGGTGGTGGCCTGGAGGCTGGAGTAAATGATAGATATGTGATTTTATGGAGGAAATTTGCTGTGACAAACTATCCTTGAAAATGCAAGTGTTTTCAATTTTCTCCCCGCTTCCAAGTAAGAGAAATTTGGAAGATATTTTTCTCTTATCTGAAATGTGGTCAAAACGCACATTTCTCACCTAATTCCTTAAAATACATATATGTATACAGCATTTTTAGGCAAAGCCATGATGGATGTCTACTCTACTTTCCCTTAATAGCCTTGGAAGAATGTAATTGCATCTGTCTCCCAGGCTATCAATTAAATATCTTTTACTGCCAGTGTGGCCAAATTTTACCTATATCAGTGGCCAAAAAGTTACTGATCCTATGGATAGCTCCAGCTCCTGCAGCGAACATTTATTATGAAACCAGGCCTAGGCCCAAATTTGCAAGTTAATTAACCAGACACAGTTTCATAATCATATTCATCCATGTCTCTATTAATGACCCATTTGCCTTTGTTAACTCTTCTTTAGAAAATCAAGTTCTTTGACATGGGGCAGCACCTCAGTGTCACCTTTGGTAATCCTCACACAGAGCCATAAATTCCCAAGAGATATTTATTGCCCAAAAGACACTCATTTGGTCAGAGTAGAGTCGCATTCCAGCAGATAAAGGCTTGAATTGTTTCTTCTTAGTCATTTGACCTTGGACAAATCACTGACTGTCCACACGCCATCTGTAAGACGGGAGTGAGATCCCTAGCCTTGACAATTTATAGAGGGTCACATAAGAGGACACATAAGATGTGCCTGGCACAGAATGAAAGCTCACTGAATTTGCTTTTCCTGTTTCCCTCTGGAGGTCCCTCTGGGAAATGGTTGCTCCTCTAAAAGCCCTCCATCAAGCAGCGGACTCCAGAAGCAAAGGAAAAATGCAAATCAGCAATCCGCCTGCTTTGCTTAGGTGATAACATCCAGAACTGCCACTCTGCCTGCTCAGAAAACAGCCTGAACATATGATTTTGCAAACAAGTCATAGTTTAAACAAAATTAACTTGTAAATGTGCTCTGGTGGAGTTCGAGCGCATATAAAGGGATTAGCTATTCCACTGTAGCTCTCTTGTATTTGCCAAGGTCAGTCCTCTCTTGAGCCACTGGTCATGATGGAGAGAATGGCTCACTCTGAAGGGCTGAGTTTAGAGGTGATCAGGTATTACAAAAGGAACATGGAAGGAACTTAAAATTTCCACTCAGAGGAGGGAAGCTTAAGGGCTATGCTGCTACATGGAAAAGAATGAAACTTGTCTGTGGGCTTCAGGAGGCTGGATTCTATCCAAGGATGAGAAATGTAAGAATAAAAAAGTGCATTATCAGTCAAAACCAACAAAAAAAATGGAAGAGCTTCTTCTGAGGGAATAATCTACTTGTCACAAGAAACAGTCAAACAGAGATGGAAATGAAATTTATCAGCAAAGAAAGAAGGACTCAGGGTCTGGGTGATTCCTTTTAACTCTACAATGCCAGGTGTAATGACAAAGCATCATGGGAAAACTCACCTATTAGCAAAAGTGAGGGAGAGAACTAAGCAACTGATCAAATGGTCTCATAAATGTCCAATTCTAACTACACCCACCATTCACTGTCATTTCAATAGATTGGCTATGAGTAAGTTAAATCCAACCTCATACTACTAAGCAGTGTTTCCATAACTAATTCACAGTATAGTCACACCTGTGAGCTCTTTTTGAATGGAAAGACAAGCCATCCTTGTCTTTAAGAAATTTCCATGAGCAACTAATACCCTGTGAATTAACACCAAAGAAAGCTCTACGAGGCAGGTGTGGCTGCATAGTTCTGTTCCCCGAACAATTGAAAGCATCTCAGGCTTTCTCCATAGTCCTGATGCAAAGAAGACAGAGGGAGAAAAAGAAAAATCAGTGAAAGATCATAGGCTCTAAGCCATCACTCTAAATTGTGTGACATGGAATGTTCTCTGGCTGCTCTTTTGCTTTTCATATATGACTTCTCCTCAGATTCTACATCTGACATGAATCCATACTACGCCATTGGACAGATATCTCTCTACGCGGGCTCTCAGGTGCTGGCCTGGCTCTTTTGATGTGTACAAGGCAGAATACAAACAGGAACGTGTGTGGAGACCTGCACAGTCACCCCAATTCCACACCCTTCTCTGCTAGCACACCCTTTTCCTATGCTATCCATGTCCTTACATGCAAGGGAGATACAAATCTGGGAGAGAAGGAAACATAAATCAATCCCAAATGTGGGGTCCTGAACCAGCAGATCACTTACAAATGGCTTGAAAACTCTGCCCCATCTCTTTCAGCCAGCAGAACCCGAAATGGTGCAATCGCTCAGATCCTCTGAAATGAATACGCAGCACTAGCGATAAAATGGGGGAGAGTTGATAAGATGGGGGAGAGTCGATCAGATGGGCTGCTGACCAATTCCCCAGCTATAATGTGGCTACTATTAAAATGATGTGGTCACAGCTATTCCATCTAATAAATGGATTTTAAAAGGATTCAATTTTTAACCGGACTCTGAACGTGGTAAGATATGAGAAGATTAACACAGCCACTGCTACATACGTGGCTTACCACTTGCTTCCTTAGAGTTGCTGGAACTTGGATCTGGAGGGTGGGGACAGGGAAGTGGTAATGCAGAATGCCCTGCTGCAGGAATTCCAACTCAGAGACTACTTTTTCTCTTTTAAAGTTAGATTCTAATAGTATAACATTAATAGGTATTTGTGGAATTAATTATATGACAACTACAGATTTTATGATTTTACATAGTGCTCCATGCATTACCATTGTGTAGGCTATAATTAAACAGAATTCAACAACTTCTTGGCTTTAGTTAAAGAGAAAACATGCTGTAATATTTCCAATAAATGGAGGATGCCATAAACACATTTCAACCTGCGCTTCCATACAGAAAAGGAAAAAAAAAATATTGAGTCCCAACTCCTGTTGGAAAACAACTTCATCTGAAGAATAAATAAAGTGACTCAAAGTTAAGTATCAGAGCAGCACCGAGACCTTCAATGGGCAAAATGGAATGGATCTTAAGGTATGATTTGCCAACAGGTAAAGACTTAAACACAATTCTGGGGAGGAAGCGGGAAGGGGTGGTGGGAACAGAGAAGAAAGAGAAGGAGGAAAATCTTAAGGAAATAAGGAACAGTACATTTAGCTCATCCATCAATGCCATGGTAATGCAACTTGAAATCAAGCCAGTTCATGCCCTTCCAGCAGGCGGGAACATGGGAGGCCTTATTGCCAACAAACACAGAACTCCTGGGTTTCGTACTCACCGGTGAGTTCTTCCAGAGCAGGCTGTCCACTCTTGGTGTAGTGGCCGGGCTCCATGCTCACGCCTGCAGAGCTGGATTCAGCAGTGACATTCCCTTCGGTGTCTGTCTGGGACCTTCACACACAAACCCAAGCAGACATACTTGTCATGAGCAGTCACTACATCTGGACCAGTCAGGTTCTACCCACCATCACCTCCTTCAGCAAGAAGTTTTAGAACAGATCAGACTAACAGACTGGTACTAAATAATTCATTAGCGCATGTGGAGCACCGTCCTAGAAATAGAGTCACCGAACTGTAGAAGATGAAATATTCATCGTCCAAATGGAGGGTCTGCCTTGCCCTGCACTGGGGAGTGCGTCTCTGAATCCCCATCAGGAAACGAGGTCTAGCCAGAAACATGCTGGAGGGTGCTGAGTGGTTTGGCGCATTTCACCTATGCCAAAGAGCAACTTCTAAATAACCATAAACACTGGCAAGTCAAGCATAAAGATGACTCCATTGACAGCCCCCCTCTTGCTCCCCAAAGCCTACTGACATGGGTCTCTCTGAAAAGGCAACTGTAAAACCAGTCGGGAGTGGGTGCCAAGCAGGTGTGTTTGCCCTCTAGGTCTCTGATTCAGTGCTCAGATCTTCTGACATGAAAGGTCTCATTGATCATTATTTCAACACTTGACTGAAATCTGTACTTCCCCCAAGCCTTCTCCGTGTCCATATTTGTCAGGCAAATTGAGACAACCGCTTCATGCAATGTTTCTTGCCACAACTGCCTCTGCTCATTTAGACATGGCATGCAACTGTGTAATTACACGGATGCATGACCTTGAGTGCAACATTATTAATCCATTAGTGGCCTGAGCTAATTCAACCAGATTTCACTAGCTACGGAAAAAGTGTCTGCCAAGAACAAGAAAGTAAGTTGTCTTAAAATTGGGGGGGGGGGGAGGCGCTGCACAGACAAACCTCTAGCTATTCATCTAGTCTTCTCCCCTTTGCCCTCCTCTTGAAGCCATCTGTTCTCAAATCCAGTACTCTCTACCTTTGAAGGATTTTCACATTCCCACTGCCCCTCTCCAACTCCTGGCCAGCGTCCAAATTCTCATCATCTCTACTTAGGCCCCCAAAATGCTTTGGAAACAGTTACACTGTCTCTAGCCTGGAGGTTGCAAATGGCAGCCAAGGGTAGCAAGTAGCCCCCACATTTATTCTTACTGGTCTGTGCAGTGTTTTAAAGTTTTGGAATTAGTTTCAACAGTTAAAAATCAGGAACTTTCACAAAAATACCTGGATTGCTGCTTCTTTCAGTGAAGTCAGGAAGACTGAGGGTACTTTCAGGGCATGATCCAAGGGTAACTTCCATCTGCCACAGTCCACTCAGGCTGAGCCACTCATTTCCGTTACCGTTTGGAGCCCATTCAGGCATCTGAATCCAAACTGTTCTAGACTGTTCCTGCATTCGGTCCACTCCCCACACCATCTCCACTGATCTTTGAGACACTGAAGTGACCACACTGCATTCGGATAAAAGGTCTCTGATGGTTTCCCACTGCTGCAGAATCAAGTCAGAACTCCTGACTGGGGTAGAAATGCCCATGTCACACCATTCTGCTTCCAGCCCCATCTCCTGCCACAATGTCCTATACACACAGCCCTCCTGCTCTGGGCCCCACCCATACGAGTGTCTCCTCTCCATTCCCAGACAACACCATGCCCTATCCAGTTTGTCTCTGCAGTCACTGTGACCTCCTTTCTTCCTTCATTTGCTCCTACTCAGCCTTGAAGACACAGTTCCCATGTCATGTAGGCCTGGACATCTTCCCGGCCCATTTGCCAACTGATGGCTCCACCTCTTGTGTGTGTTTCTACAGATGTCTCATTCCCTTGATGCCTATTCATCACAAGGTGATCTCACTGATAATCTTTCCTCAACTGGAGACAGCTCTCTGAAGACAGAGATTGGCTCATTTGACATGTGCACGCAGGAAAGATCTGCTGAATTTCATTTCAGAAGGTAATCACACAGGTTGTGTTGAATGGACATGCAAGAATTTTTAAGTCTAGAAAGATTCAAGGTAATGGAGGGATCATGAGCTTGGAGTTTGAACATTAGCTACCTGCTAATTCAGGAATCCATATATTAGTAACCAGGTGCATTTGAGTAAGAAATTTCTGTTTGAACCAAGGGGTCAGAGCTACATAGTGAGGGTGGGGGTGTGGGGGTGTGGAGTAGCAACAGCGCCCTCTGCTGGCTGCTATGAAAATCATGTGACATGAGCTGAGTAGCTTTTAAAAATGGTTCATTTTCCTTTTATGAATTCATTATCCTTTTAGTGGGTAAAACACCCATACTGAAATTCTGGGGGGGAAGCATTACAAGTTTTGTATCCACAGTCTGATATAAAATTGAGAGTATTTGAGATTAAATTCTCTAATTGATTCCAGTTTCCTCACTTTTCATATGAAGACTAGGAGGCTCAGGGGACACCGTGAATTTAAAGATTGGAGACAGCATGGTTGTTAAGAACTTGGTTTCTCTAGTTAGATAAACTTGGGTTTAAACATTAGCTTTTCTAGTTGTTAACTCTGTGATTTAGAGCAAGTTCTTTAATTACTCTAAGCCTCACTTTCCTCATGTGTAGAATGATGAGGGTTTTAAAAAAGAGGGCTGGCTAGCTCTTGGAGTGGTGGGAACGATGACAGCAGCTAAGGCCTGGGAAGCCCTTAGCTGGTTAAATGCATACATATGGTGCATACTGAGTGAAAGTCCCCGCAGCCAGGTCCCAAGGCCACAAAAGGGAGTCACATGCTGTTAAACACAGGGACCTCAAAGCCCATCTCATTCTCTTCCTCCAGATTCTTCCTTAGCTCACCTAACAAGGAAAGGCAACGCAGAGGAACCAGAAAGCCACTACATGGGATGAGCAGCAGCATAAACATGGAGCTTCAGGGGGACACAAGACATTTCCTTGTCAGACATTTACTCTCTATCACTAGGAGTTTTTCTTCTCAGAGAAAAGCTTGAAATACTTATAAAAAGATGCCAAATGTCCTACATTCTTCCAACGTTGCAGCCAAAAAAGGGAGGGAAGGCAAAGTATTGCTGGTGATCAAAGGCTGTCATATATTTTAATTTTGAAAATGCAAATTAAGAATCTGTGCAAATAGTAGCATGAATATGTAGAACCTGGAGACTATTAATGTGATTGCAATAATAAACATTTCACAGGAGCTGTTCAGTTGCCTCCATGCTTCAGAGAACAGCTGTATGAAAAGTTGTGCATAGAGATGGGTGCTGAGTCATTATCCAGCCTGTGCTCTTCTTGGGACTTTGAGCTGAGTTGACTGGATTTAACAGAAAGATGATCAGCGCCCGATTTAAAAGATCGGTATGAGCTTCACTGTAGGAGAGACCAAGCAGAACACAAGATGAGAGGGACACAGGCTGGATGCCACCTAGCTGTCCTCTGAAATCCCTCATGCCAGAGTCTAGGAGAGTACAATGTGGGAGGGAGAAAGGGAGTGTGTGATTATGCAGGGAACCATTTAAACCCAGGAAGTTGAAAGCATAGGCATGTGTCTACCCCTATGAATACAAGCACTGCATTTGATATAGGAATGTGTACGTGCATCTGTACTTACATGGGATGGTCACTGTGAGTCCCTACCTGGGGGTGGATAAATGAGTGTACACAGATGTATACGTGCTTATGAGAAGAGCTGTAAACCAAGTGCCTAGAACATGACATTCAATCATTCATCCCCTTTTGCTGGTAGAGGGATCAGTTACAGGCCATACAGTCTAGTGAACAGCACTACACATCGGTAGGCTGGTGGCACAGGCTGCAACTGACTACTGTGTGCAAAGTTCCAGGAGGCCCTCCAGAGCAGGAGGGAGCGGGGGAGCTCCCACTGCCTAGAGAGGGCTCATCCTCGTGCATCCAGTAGCATCAGAGCTGGTGTCCTCCACTCCACAAAGGTTTGTGGGGTGGGCTGAGCTCCAGAACCACACACAGCAGTCCTGGCGCCACATGGTCCTCTCTGCCTGCAGAGCTGGTACGACCAAGAGACAGATGACAGGTAGGATGATGGAGCCAGACACAAACACCTAGACGTGTGTCTGCTCCATACAGCATTCCTTTGTTCTTCTAGAACTGGTTCCTCACTTACCACTACCCTTTCTCCCTCATCTCACTCTCCCCTCCAAAAACTCAGCACACGGTCAGGGACTAAAACAACACTTAACACGTGGGATGCAGTATGAAATTGTGAGGACCTGGAAGTGCCAGGTAGACAAGAAGGCTCAGAGATGCAGCAAGGTAGCTTGTGGCTTTCATCTTTTAAAGTAGACTCAGGAAGTTAGGGCTAGTTGGGGGAGAGGCGCTCGTGGAGGTCACTCCCCACCCCTCAGGCATCTGCTCATGCTGCCAGCTGTTTCTGAAATGCCTTTGGATCCCCACACACCTGGGTCAGCTCCAATCTTACTTCTTTTCCCAGTTTCCTTTGACCCCCCCCCCCAAGCCCTGGTATTCATTGTGGCCTAGAACACACAATGCATCTCTCTCCTGCGAACTGATGGGGTATCTAAGCTGTCAGTCTAAATGTTCCTGATTCCTGCCCTCCCAGGACCTAGAATCCACTAGAAAGGCTCTCTGGCCCAGGAAGGGCAGGTGGGAGATGCGCTTACCTGTACAGGAAAGGCGCGACCGTAGCAGTGTTGGGGTGGCTGTATTGCTGCTGGGGCTGAGGTAGCTGGACACTGACAGTATTGCTTCCTGTGGTCTGGGTGGTCCCCACAAACCCACTGACAGTCTGGCTGCTGATGCTGTGGTTGAGGGTGGTCCCTCCTGGGCCTTTCCCCTCCGAGGATGCCAGACTGGAGGAGGAACTGGAATGTCTGCCATCCAGTTGGGGCTTCTGCTGGGGGAGCCCTGAGCTCGGCTTCCCACCCCGGCTCCGCTCGCCCTCCTTGGAGGGGATGGGGGCACTTGGGGATTTCGTGGGCACACTCTTCATTCCTGGTTTTGGTATTCCACTGTGGGAAGGGGCTGGGGCCTCCTTCTTGGCACTGTTGAGCTTCCCCCCTTTGGGGATGAAGCTGGCGATCTTGGAGGACTTTTTTGGCATGTCTGCCACCACTGCCCCGCTGGGGTCTTCCTTCGGCCCCTCTTTGAGGTCCGGCCTCTCTGCCACAGAGGCTCTCTTGGCCACATCCTTGCTTTTCTCCTTTTCCTTCTCCCGCTGCTGTTTCTCCTTTTCTTTCTCACTGCCTTTTGGAGAGCTCTTCTTGTTGGTCAGCGCCCGGCTGAAAGTTCTCTGGGCAATGCCCTTGAGCGCAATCTTGGGGCTGTTGGACACGGGGCCTGGAGTGGAGAGCGAGCGGCTGTTGGCCTCTATTTCTTCACTCTCTTCAAAGCTGGGCAGGATCTCCAGCCGCTCACAGCTTGTGTCCCGTGACCCGGGCCCCTCACCCACCTTGGAGCCCCCTTTACTGTTGAAAAGTTTTAGCTTTTCCAACATGGACTTCTGATTGTTGGGGGCTGGCTTCATGGCTTCAGGGGTGGGCCTGGGGGCCTCGGGCATGGGCTGCTTGACTGAGAGCATGGACGAGGTGGCGCTGTGCTTCACGCTGATGGACTTGCTGCGCCAGGGCTTGGAGGCGGCACCGGGCTGGGGGATGGACGAGGAGGCACTGCAATTAGCAGACGGGGAGGTGCTGCAGCTCTCCAGGGGAGCTGATACATTCTCGCTCATTCCGGGGAGGGAGGAGGCTGGGCTGGCCAGTAACTCTGCAGAGGTGGGCAAGAGAAAGAAACCTGAATGACATCTAAGGCTGCACTCAAGATGAGGAAGGGCCATGAGTGTGCGCAGTCAGTCACTCCCAGCTCAAGTGCCCCGTAGCTGCATAACCCACTGTGGACACGACCTGTGGTTACATCTGAAACCCCACCTGCAGGTCCTCTCCTCTCCACCATGCACAGGTCCCATCACCCCATACATTTTGGTGTATGCTGTGAAAATACAAGCCGAACTCCACATTAACATGCACAAGGCACAATGAAGCAAATACACAGATGGAAAAACAAAATAACCACACCACTGAGGTATGAGGTGATGTAGAAAGATACAGGGTACATCTACTACTTTGCATTATTCAACCCACACCCCCATTTCTCAGTTGTACAAAAGAGTCAAAGAATATCCACCTTGAAGAAAACAATGGAACAGAGACATTAAAACAAATCCCTTGTACCCCTTGCCTCCCAACCCCCTAAAAAAAAGAAAAAGAAGAGAAACCTCTTTTTTCTTTCAAGAAGAGAATCCTCACCCACCAAGGTGGCTAAGTCCGATCAAAGCATAGGAAGTGTTCCTATGCTGGTACTTTCAAAGAGCTACAGACACGGACTCAAAACAAAATAAGACTTTCTAGCTTTAGAGTCTGAACTGCACACCAGCTTCACCCTAGGCAAGAAAACACTTCGGTTATCTGAAAGTCAAGGCTTCCCTTTGGCGCTCAGCGAGTGTTTCCCCAGCCAGATTCTTTTCTCAGAAAAGCCTCAAACTATTTCGAAACTACAACGGGAATTATTCTGGGAAGGGCAGGTTCCAAACTGGAATACTGCTAGCCACCAGAACGTGAAGATGGCGGCATCTTGGTCTCCCCGCGCCCTCTCGCAAGTGAGGGCAGCTGTCAGGACAAACGCCGAGGAGCTGGAGGGGCGCCCTTCCCGGCGGAGGCCCCCGCCTGCCCACCCACCCACATCCTGTGCCTACCCGGCATGCAGAACAGACGGGCTGCAGCCCTCCCATCCCCAAAGGGCGCTTCTGCAAAGTCACAATGACTCAACTTACCTAGCAGCAGCCACTTTCTCCCGCAACGACTCCTTAAGAATTCTCCAGCAGGAGAGACGGCCCTCGCAATTGTCACAAGTGTTTTCGGTTAAACTGCTCATGTTTCTAATTAACTTTTGTCATCCGCAACTGCTCCAGTGCCCAGAAGCCTGGCGGGATTAACGGCTGCTTCTTCTGCCCCCCCTCCCCTTTTTTTAATACCTATATTCGGCTGCCTTCTAGCAACAGAGTAAACTGTATATAGAGCGGCTTTTTATGATTTAAAAGTCAACGGCCGCCAAAGCCAAGTGAAGGCAGCCCCTGTGTGGGGCAAGAACGCCAAGTGCTTCCCTTCATTCTCAGCTGCTCAGGGAAGCCACAGTTCCAGGGTGATCCAAAGCAGACCTCCCAATGTTTTAAAACACATACATCTTTCTGACTTACTGGGGATTTGGGTTTGGAAGGGGGGGTACTGCTGCACAATCCTCCCTAACAAAACTCATGGGGCGTTGTTGGATCTCTTCCTGGGGAGAGCGGAGATTGGCTTGGAAAGAGGCGCATGTAACCCACCCACACCGCTGCCTTTCAGAGGGTCCCTGCAGGCCCACGCCAGAGCCTCCTGCTTGTCAGGAGGGGCAGTGCCAGCTAGGGATGCTGTGAAGAGGGGTCACTAACCCTGTTTTATGAGTGATGAAGTTTAGGCTCGGAGAGGGCTAATGATGGACCCTAAGTCTAGCTCTAAAGGGACAAAGCCAGGATTTGAACCCAACTCGACTGACAGTGCTCTTAGGACTACATCACAGCTACCTCTGTTGATAAAGAACACATTTAAAACAGTCACATGATGCCTGAAGTGCTCTCTGGGCACTGCCTTTTCTACAGCTTAGGTGAGCTCGTGATATCCCTGGGGGATCATCCAGTTTCCACACTGGAAAGGAGGCAGCTGGCTCTTTGGGTGAAAAGCCAGTGACCCTTTACCCTCAAGTCCCATTTTTCTCAGGATGACTCTTCCTCCTTATCTGGGCTCAGGTCTAGGGTAGAAGTATTTGGTCATTCATTCAACATCCTCATTCATACCAACCTTTCATTCATTCATGAGACTCTACCATAGGCCAGACACTGTTGTAGGCACCTAGGACATATCAATGACTAAACAAAAGATCCCTGTCTGTCTTCATGGAGTTCACATTGTAGCAAAGGAGCAGATGATAACTAATATAATTATTAAGGTTTACCAATTGTTAGAAAATATGTGTGAAAGAAAAGGGGGTCTGAGGGTCAGGTTGCAATAATGCCCTTATAGGAATTGGAACATCACATTCTACACTCAATAGACTATACCTCACATAGATGACACTCCTCTTGCCTGAGTAAGTTCTATGCTCATTCCCTAGAGTACGAGTACATGGGTCAACATGACTTTTCTGTTCCCACACATTCCTTGGAATTCCTACAAAGCTTGCTTGTAGGAATAGTTTTGACAAGAAATGCCTCTCCTACCATTTCTGTGTTTTTAACATTAACATACACAGCTAGAAATTAACCTATAACTAACTAAGGACTGACCCAGAGTTAAACACTTATCTATGTGAAATGTGCAGCCTAGCTGAAGATGTGTGTCCTTCACGCCAGGTACAGGCAAAGGGCTCACACAAAGTAGGCGGGGCAGACATTCACAGTCACTTCAAAAGCCACACCAAAACAGCCTCGAGGAACTCCTACTTTGTTTTCAAACCCCAGTCCAGATGCCCTTTCCTCTGTGAAGCTATCTAAGATCCTCAAGCTCATCGAACACCATTTTATTTTCTACTCTGTGTTTTCCTCAAACACTGACCATATCTCCCCATAAAAGGATCTGGGAATCCCTACTTATGCCAGGCACTGGGAGTAGAGTTGGATAAAACACAGCTCCTGCTCTGGAAGTTCACTGTTCAAAGAAGTAACAATTCTCACAAGAGACCACAGAATCAGAGTAAAGAGTTGTAGAGGGAACAAGTCCATGACACCCAAAGATGGGATCTTCAAATCCTCCCTAGAGAATAAGGGAACCTCTCTTGAGGGCATGACCTTGGGTTGTCATGGTATACCTGTGAGTTCTACTAGGGCAAAGCCCCTCCCTGCTGTCCCCAAACTTACTCTCAAGAGTGGAGAAAGTACTCAGGAAGTTCCTTCTGACTTCTTGATAGTTTTGATATTTTCAAGTCACATTTAAGGTGAGAGAGATGCAAATTTTGTCATTAGTCATCAGTGTTTTATTAAAATTTTCCACCTGGACTCAGAAAAACCAAGATCAAGACCTAGAGCTTTAGGATTGGCCATTTAGCCTGAGCGTCCCTGGTTACTAAATCATAACAGCTACACAAAGCAGCCTCGGAGCTAATTTGGTTTCTAGATCAGAAGCAACTTGAGTAGAGCTAAAGGCACCAGACATCTAAAGGTCAAATCATCAACATGAGGCACTTACATCACATCTGGGAATCTTATCCATAGTGACGGGGGCTCCAGGTTGTGTGCAGGTTAACTTGACATATTTTTGTCATTCCTATGGTATCAACCCAGCGATCTCAGACAATCTAGTACTCTGAAAAACAGTCTGGGGAGGGCTGGGCAAATTCTTTAAATTAAGAGCACTTCTCTGTCTAGTAACTGACAGCTTTTGTTTCTCGTCTTATGTATATGACCTTTGTTAGAGCAAAGGACTCTAAGAGGGAGAAAGGAGAAAAGCACAAAAGAATGTTTGATATTAATAAGAGGAGGAACTGGAGCTCCCGGCAGTGCTACTGAGAACTTCCTATATAATTTTTGGGTAAATCTAAATCTATTCTGAAAAAATACAGGTTATCTTAAAGAAATATAGTGAACATAAGTATAAGTATTCTCCCAACAAGTCTCTGTAAGTCAGGGAAGGCAATTAAACTACTTTTAATGGCACATGAATGAACATTTTTAGACTTTAAAAATGTTATGTTTGGTGGCATATTAGAAAAGGCAACTAGTCCATATGCAAGTGGACCATTTCACAGGCATTAAATTAGATTTAAAACTTAAGTTGATTTAAGGGAAATATGAAATGAGTAAAAACTCGAGTGGTTCACAGACTTAACAAACATCTTGCAAGTATCTAAAAGACTGAGCTGGGGAAGCAAGATTCCATTAAACCAAGAAATACTTATACATGAAAACAGGTAATAAGCATTTTAAAGACACTTTCCTTATATTAATTCTCTTGGGAAATATAATCGACTAAATATAAATCCAGTCAGAAGGCCCAAATAAGGGAAACTGAAATGGCTGCATTCTAGACCATAATTTATTTATATGCGGTCAGCACATGATATTTTGCTGAGATTGGCCAGTGCTGGCAACATGACTAGGACATATTTGGCCAAAACTAATTAAAAAATAATGACTTTCAGTTTTTGAATAGCAAACACAAGAATGACAAATTACCACATAGCCCAATAAACATCCAAATATTCAAAGGCAAACTGAAAACAATCAAACATGCTCTTACGAGGTGCAGTGGACTCTGTACGGTCTAGCCTTGTCCATGCTCAACAACGGTCAGAGCCCCTGCAAAGCCTTTATCATCCACCAGTGGATCACGTCAGCAGCCAGAGCATCTCAGTTCAAGAAGTCCAGCTTGCAAGCTCACCACCATCAACTGTCAAACCACCATAAGCAGGAAAAGTCTCATTTGAAACACTGCAGACAGGATGCTTTTGAAGAAGGGAAACTTTTTTTCTTTAAGGGTTTAGGGGGATCATTAATTCTCCTAGGGAGGGAAAAAGTTTGGTTTTCCTGGCAACCAGCCTTAACCGTCCCTGACCATAATCAAAATACTTTCTAAATGAAAATACTGTGTAAGGCAGCAAAATAAGCCTATCTTCCTCTTTCCCTCTGTAAGGGCCAACACTGCCCCAAAGTCTCTTCTGTCCACAGCTTTACTCTTAAGGAG